ATAGGTGTTCCCTTTCCACAAAAGAAATGCGTCTCAAAAGAAATCCATGCACATTGAATGTGAGCATTGCCAAGTTAGAGTTACATCTGACCATAGTTTGTCCTCTTGTTTTTGCACTTTTCTGGACTTCATAGTTACATGCTTCGTTGCAGGTAGTTGAAGGTATAAAAGTCATCTGTCATGAGCTTACACAAGCCACAAACGAGCCAGAAATTATTGCGATGGAGGATCTAATCAAGGATGTGGATAGACTTGTTTCATGCCTTGCAACAAAGGTTTATCATCGTATTCCAGGATCTGTTCAGTTGGAGTTAGTTTTCCTTGTAAGCTTATTTGACTACTTTTGACAGGTACCCAAGACTCTTGACTTCAGTCTTGCTGGCGCATCTTCAAGGCCATGTAAATATCTCCTGAACACCCTTATGCAGGCAAGTTTATTTGTACCACTTTTATGTGATTATCCTGGTGATATTGTGTTGCTTTGGGAAGAAAATCCACTAAAATCATATGATTTGTGCAGACATTTCAAATTAAAAGGCTAGCTCACACTGTAAAGGAAAGTACCCTCAACATCCTTATTACTGAGCTTCTTTTATGGCTTTTGGATGAAAGAGTTCCTTTAATGGATGATGGAAGCCAACTTTTGAAGGCTTTAAATGTTTTGATGCTAAAGATTCTTGTGAGTTTTTCTTGAAGTCGATTTCTTACATTATTTCAGGATAATGCTGAGCGCACTTCCTCCTTTGTTGTGCTGATCACCCTCTTGCGGCCATTAGATCCCTCAAAGTGGCCATTGCTTGCATCTGGTGATACATTTGCAGCCAGGATCTTGTTGTCAAATGTCTCATAAAATTGACAAAGGTAATCGGATGCCAACATAATGTGCTACACTTTGTCCCTTGGTATGTTTGTGCACACTGCTAATGTAATATTAGTTTCTTCAGGTTCTCCAGAGTACAATATTTGAGGTGGATGTTGATCGTATTCTTCAAATTATACATCTATATTTACAAGAGCTAGGAATGGAGGAAATACAAAAAAGGTTTATTATCAGGCCAAAAGTTTTCCACTTCTTACATTATTAATTAGGACATTGAACCTGACCAATTGATAATTGCCAGAGCTGGGGCTGATGACAAGCCACTGCTGCACTGCACATGGTTAAAACTGTTCTACATGAGCTTGTAAGCTTCAGGGAACTGCAATAAAGGGTTACCTCTCCATGGTTCCTTTAGACTTGGAACCTCAGCCAATTATACTGGCACACATCGACCTTAATCTCCAGGTAAAGATTTTGTATATATTAATAAACTTTATTGGCGCCACCATCCATATCTTGCCTCTTAGGCTATAACATTATGATGTGAATTCAGGATCTTTAAGCCGATTTTCTTTTCTTTGTACAGACTCTTGCAGCTGCTAGAATGCTGACACCATCAAGGCCTATTGGCCAAACGCAGTGGGGTGACTCTGTTTACAATTGACCATCACCTGCTACACATTCAGCAGATGCATAATTGAAGGTGCCATCTCAACTTTGGAACTTATACTGGAAATAAAAGTCATTCGTCTCCGACCTTCCTTACCGCTCAGCATCTTTTTGTTCTTTACATGAGTACAGCAAGAGCTTGCTGCGGTTTTCAAGAAAATCAGTGACAAGCAATCATGCACCATTGGCTTGTATGAGCTTTACGGGATCACACGGTTGTACCCGTACTTGGATCATGGCCTCAGTGATTGATTCATGACGAACAAAAAGAAGAATAAATGTATTTCTCCAATGAGGGCTTTTGTGAAATGGAACTTTGTTTCTTCTCTATGCATGTGGGGGTGGGGAAAGGGGGCTTAAGGTTAGTTTAAATTGCACAGGACAAACCTTAAGAATTGATACCTCCTTGCTCTCTGTCGTGCAAACAAGGTGTTGCTCCACTAGAACAGAGGTTTGGGGACAATTTCAGTGTGCAGGGAGGCAGGGATATTATTGAGTATTGACATTTAACATTGGGTCTTTCAGGTTGATATATTTTCGGAGCTACAGAATGCGAGTGAGGCATTCCGGACATATATAAGAAATGGATTAGCACAGGTTGGTTGGCCCATCTAAATAATTTGTTTTTGTGTAATGCCTATTATAACAAACAAAGTGTTGGCTTATGAACTACTTGTATTGTTATGATTGCAATGGAATGCAATGCAGATGGAGAGAAATACGGCAACTGGAAGGACACCTTCGAGCATGCTAATGTTGACTCCTCCTCCTGCTGTTGCCATAAATCTCTCCTCCTATTGCCATAAATTTCTCACCAAAGCTTGCACCTATGTCCCCTGTCCATTTGAAGCAGCAGCACAATGTGATGAAGCCTCATGAACTCACAAACAACTCTTTGGTTGTTGAAGTTGATGATGCCGCCACCATCGCCAGTCGTGATGTCTCGTCGAAAAGGCTGATGAACACATTCTCTGAATTGAGGAAGCAGCTTCCCATTCCCAAAGTGGACCATGATGAGAAATATGCATTTGCAGGTAAAGGGATCATGATACGATCCCCCCCTATTCAGGAGATTGAGAACTATGTAATTTGTTGTGCTTTTAGATTGGGCTTCCCTCTCACTTTTGAATTGGTGGACATGCTATGTAATGGATCAGTGATGAGGTTTTGGCCCTCATATCTAAAAACCATCTCACACAAGGGTCACAGTCCATTGGCTCACTCTCCTAGGCAACTCCAAAATCATCAAGAGATATCTCATAAATCTTCATCGATTTTGTTCCATGCCTTGTTTATCTTTGTTATCACATAATCAAAAACAAAATATTGATTACTTGGCCTTTTAGTCACACTCTCTGTCTCTCATTCATCAATAAAAGACTATGTTTTAAATCTAATTTGTGCCATAAACAGTATTTTTATAAAAACGATTGTCACAAATAATCACAGAAATCTGCGTGTATATGATTTTCTTTACACAATGATTTACTCTACGAAATGATTTGCTATAAACAGTATTTCATTTACACAATGATTTTCCATATAATAACAACTGAAATTTGCATCTATTTGTTTAAGTTTTAAAAAAAAGGACAAAAAAAAGTCATACCTGCAATCTGCAATTGTGGTTTTGAAGCACACAGTGGGGATAAAAATTTCTATTTTAGGTTATTTTTCTAAATAATATTATTTTTTCAAAACCATGAAAGTAGCAATGGCTATACACAAAACAGGAAACAAAAAAAATTTCTTTCTAAAAAATTATATATAGGTAAAAAAAGATAGGACTTTTTGGCCTGATTTAAATCATATTATGAAAAAAGCGTGTTTTAAATGTTTTTATGAAAACTACATGATTTTTTTTCGACCTTTTCAAAAAGATGCCCTTTAAAACTGTTTTCCATTGAAACGCTGATTTTTTTTAAACAAATTGCCGATTAAATGGCGATTTGCTAACTATGACCGACATAAACCGAGCCTAGCCGATGCAAGCCGAGCCGCGCCAATCTTGCTAGCTACATTCGTCGATGATCTCCGTTTTTATTAAAACAAGAAAAGAAAAGAAAAACCAATCGCATTTACCTTTGGGTGCAGTTTGTGTGCGGTTTGTATAGAGCCTAGGCTCTAAGCAAGCCAATTAGAGCCTACCTTCAAATAGTGTCGAGAAATGTGGTTTCAATACTGAAAATCTTTTTGATAGCATTAAAATATATTTCCATATTTGTTTATAAAGTTTAAAGCTTCAAAAATAGTGTATATTGAGAGATCTATGAAAATCTTTAAAATTGACATTCCAAATATGCGGTACAAAATATACTATTTCCAAAACTTGAAATCCATTTTTTTCTCATATCCAAGCTTTTTGATGTCGAGATGATCAATTTGAGGATATTTGGGCATCAGAAAAATAATAATTTCCAATCTTAAAAACAATGCATGTTGTAACACATTATCTTAAATTATCTATTTTCAAGTTTTTCTAGTATTTATAGATCTACTTGATTTGCATAAGTACCTGTGATAGCACTGAAATTAGCCATAAGTACCTGTGATAGCATTGAAATTCTTAAATAAATAGTTAAAAAATACAGAGTAACTTTGATTTTCATCTCTAATTTTTATATTTTATGTATGGACTTTAAATAAATTAGAAAAATACATGCTGCTCTTTTTATACCTGAAAATTACAATCAAGGTCAACAACGTGATCATTTATTGTTGACAAAATTACCCCTTGGTCCGAGAATGTCATCCTCAGGCTGTTTTTTTTTTTCAAAACTTAAACGTTGCATTCCAAGATGGCATTCTCGGGCCATAAGTTTTTTTTTCAAAACTTAAGTTGTGGTCCAAGGATTTCACCCTCAGACAATCCTCGGAGCATTTTTTTTTTTTTTCAAAACTTAAAGTTGTTGTTCGATGATGCCATTCTTAGACCGTTTTTTTTTTTTTTCAAAAATTAAGTTTTGGTACGAGGATTTCAATCTCGGATCGAAACTTAAGTTTTGACAAAAAAAAAAAAAACGATCCGAAAATACCATTTCCATACTGCAACTTGAGTTTGAAAAAAAAAAAGGTATGAGAAAAAAAAAATCGGTCCGAGTATTTCATCCTCGGACCGCAACTTAGGTTTAAGAAAAAAAAAAACAGCTCGAGAATGTCATCTTCATACTACAACTTAAGTTTTGACCCAAAAAAATGGTTTGAGGATGGCATTCCCATATTAAGAGGTAATTTTATAAAATAAAATAAATCACGATGACGGATCTTGATTGTAATATCGGGTATCAAATAACAACTTTGTATTTTTCTAACTTATTTAAGGCCCCTACATCAATAACTCTTTATTTTTTCTGTTCATAAAAGTGATCTCTTGAATTTCAAAATAAGCTGAGTGTGATAGAATAGACACAAACTTCAAATAAATAAATAAAAAATCTCAACTCCGTGACTCATCCCAAACTAATTGAAACTTAATGAGTAGAAATTATTGTCATCTGAATATATAAACCATAAATGGTCTCTTTATGGACAATCCTATAGATAATATAGAGAAAGAAGGATTATCATTATACAGTCCCGCAAATGGTTGAACGGAGGATTGAAGAGCATGGATGGGAGAAGGAGAGATGATCCACCCCACCCCACCAGACCCGTAGGCATTCTGACTCCGACCACAAAACCCCTCCTCGCCCCTAAGTGCTGATTGGTCTCAAAGCCAGCCTTGGAATGGTACCCCGCAAAACAAACATATTCAATCTCTCCTCGTCTCTTTTCTGGACACTGTCCTCCGCCTAAAAGGTATATATTTAAAGTATTTTTGGAGTTTAATTTTTTATAATTAGGTATAAAAATAGATTTTGAGATAATTTTTTACATCAAAATTACAGATAAAATTTGGAAGTGCGCATGGTTTAAGGTTGCAATCTTATAAAAACCACACTCTTAATTAATTGATGCTTCCACCTACCCAGTTTTGTTTTTCGTTGTTGCTTAATGCTTTTGGGCCCTATTCATTTGGTTTGTTTAAGGAAAGCTGTTTCAGTGGGTGCCATATGTCCAGTTTTTTTTTCTCCCTTTCATCTCTTATCTCTTTCCATAGGTGTGCCAGTTGGAGCAGCAAATGCCTCTATAGGTGTTACTTTTCAGTTGGACCTTCTTCTTCTTTCTAGCGAATGCAAGGAGCACCACCAGGGTGTATATACTGTAATCTTTCTTTGTAGCAAATGCAATGAGCACCACCAGGGTGTATATAGTGTAAGTTCATCACCATGGGTGCTGTCTCATTCTTTATCCGTCCCTTGCTTTTCTTCATTATTTCCTCATACTGTGCTGTGTCTGTGTGATTGCAGGTATTACTCGTTATTCGGTCATGTGGGAACCATGGCCAAGGAGATTCACAGAGGAGCCTCTTCCATTGAAGGTGTCGAGGCTACCCTTTGGCAGGTGAGGTTCCCTCTCAATAAGATGAGGACTTGAATAATTCAAAGTGGTTGGTTGGTTGGAGGAATAAATAAATAAATAAATGGATGGCAGGTGCCTGAAACCCTTCCAAAGAGGGTCTTGGAGAAGATGAAAGCCCCACCAAAGTGTGGCGATGTGCCCATCATCAGTCCTGAGGAGCTTTTGGAGGCTGACGCTTTCATATTTGGGTTCCCCTCGCGGTTTGGGATGATGGCCGCTCAGTTCAAGGCCTTCTTTGAATCCATAGAAATGGCTAGCATTTGGAAGTCCCAGAAGCTCGCAGGGAAGCCAGCCGGCATCTTCTGGAGCACCGGCTATCATGGTGGCGGTCAAGAAAACACTGCGTAATCTCACTCACTCAACTCCTTTTTCCTGGGGTGCTTTCTTTCCTTTATTCAATTCACACACGCCATGAAATGCAATGCTCTTTTTGCGCAATTCGAGAAGACCTCCTACCGCTTTTCATTGTTAAAAATGGAGAAAATAAAACTCACAGGTTTACAACTCTAAAGTAGGGCGATTGTGACAAACCATGAAGTAAAGACGGAGAAATGAAATATGGCTGTCTAGAATGCCAAAGGGTAGATATTCCCCTCTTGGCAAGTAGAAATACAGCGGTATAGAATGCCAAACGGTAGATATTCCCCGCTTGGCAAGTCTATTGGCTTCACGATAGATGTGGGTAAAGATATTCTTCTGCCATGTTGTGAGAAATGGTCTACCTGTGATTTGAAAAGCTATGACAGCAATTGGCTATTACCCTATGGAGAGCAAAGCTATGACAGCAATTGGCTATTACCCTATGGAGAGCCCATGGAGCTCTCCAGCGCTCTTGAACATCATTTACCAATAAAGAAGAATCACTTGCCATGCAATGCAATGCTATGCCATGCTAATATGCTATTTGACTTTAATTGGAGATGTCTAAAGACTACCTCCATTTTCTTACTGGGAATAGTTCTTTAGGTTGGGTGAGCTAGACAATATCATTACACTTCAAACTGTTGACTATGTGGCCTTTCAAGGCCTTAAGGCCAATAGTCTTACGCTCAGTGGGAGTTATAGAGAATCTAGGTGTTTGGCGCACTGGGGCCCAGATTCATATACCCCGAGTATTTGAGGTATTGAGAGTGTACGTTTTGAGAGTGTGAACTCTCAGGGAGGTGTGAGGGTCACCTCTCAATCAAGACTATCTTGATTAGAATGCCTCATAGTTGATGTGATATGCCAGGGCCCAGAGAATCCAATCGAGAATAATAGAACCCGAGTATTTAAAACAGTATTCGCCCTGTATGAAATGATCGGCTCATGGGACATAAGCCCGTATCCTGACACGAGACCGTTCCATGGCATGTGCACCCACAATCATATGGGGAAGCCACTCTTCTATAGTATTATCCGACTTAGAAGAGCTAGTGCGCATGTGCGTTAAGAGGATTCCTGTATTTGAGTAGGAATATGTCTCACAGGCGTGCACCAGTAATCCATTGAATCCCTGGTGACGGGAAGCTCTGGCTTAGTGACTTTGATGTGACCAATTGGGTCCCTGCCATAGACTGTGGAGTATAGGTCCATCGGGTTGGCTTGAGACACCGGTGGAAGTCATTTAGGTTAGCCCAATGGAAGACTCCGAGTAGTATTAGGGTTGAATTTTATTATTCAAATGTGTATAAACCATGTTTGTAGGCCGGAATATATGTATTATGGTTTTATATTGAGATATTCATGCATTTAAACCCTTGAGTTTTATACAATGTAAATTTTTTAAAAGATTGCATTTCTAGCCCATTGATCTTATACCACCAACACTAACAACACTCAAATTCATGGAGACTGAGAGAGAGACCTTTTCATTGTCATGTGGTTGCTGAGAAGAGAGAGAGCTCAAATGCCATGTTGTTGCTTTATTGATTTTTTTTCCCATAGAGGACTCTTTAGACAAATAACTTAAGGATATGACATGGAACTTAAAGAATACAACATGGAACATACTCTCTGTATTGATGAAAAATACTTTCTATATTAAAAAGAATCATAGCATGAATATATGAGAGCAATAAGGATTTTGGTTTTGGTAGTATTAAAATTTTGATCTGATCAGAGATTAAAGATCAGAACTCTATAATCTGAATTAGAATTATGTGTTTTTTCGTAGTATTAAAATTTTGATCTGATCAGAGATTAAAGATCAGGATTCTATAATCTGAATTAGAATTGTGTTTTAGGGTTTTACTACTCTCTTCACCTCTAAAGGGGAAGGTAAGTGTGGAAGATCGAATTTTAGATGTATATTTTCATCAGCTTTATGGCCCAAAACCATCACGCATGGTAGTCCATTTATGAAAGTTGGGTTACTTCTTTCAGTTCAGGAATTTTGAGGTATGCTTTTTGTCTATATAAAATATATTACGTGTTTCTGGAAGACATTCTACAAATCTAAAACTGCGTCGCCTCCTCGTTTCACAAATGTGAATAATTCTGTTGTTCATTTAACCAATTGTACAGCTGTGCAAGAAATAAACGGCCTAGCTTTTCTCTGTTCGGGACCCTCATATATGTTCATCTTATCATGAGAGGCAGGACCTCTTCAGATCAGATAAAATTCAGATGTGAGTTTTTATCAAGATATTGATTCTTAATACAACATGTATGTTGCTGAGATATTAAGCACAATTATTAGCTTGCGGTTCAGAAAATTGTACGGAGCCGGGAAACTCAAGTCATCCAGGTGACTTTGAACCAAATATTCCAGATTACACCACGTGAGGACTTTGTTGAAAGTCTATCCACTTCTATTAGGAACAAATCAGTCCATAGTGCAACTCCCATCAAGTTTATGGAGTTATCTTCCCCAGGAGTCCATTCATGAGAATTGAGAAGTGGCATTTCCTCGCATCAATTAGTTGATTTGTCCATTCTGCGGGTGGGTAGTCCAAGGTTGAGATTAAGTTCTCTGTATTTTTGTTCAATGGATTTGAATCATTTTCAAGTCGTCCCAAAGGCAAAAAAAAAAGCTTTTTGAAATCTCTAAATGTGTGCCAAAACTCAAAAAGGAAATTTGTGGAGTAAAATCAAGCAATGTATGAATCCTGTTGAGTGTTTTTCTTGGTTCATGTGATTGCATGAATCAAGGCTCCCAGAATTCGAACTCATTCCCAACGAGCTTAATTGACATTTGGCCTGTCTATCTGATGTTGTACTTATTGATCTGAACTCCCAACCAAACTCACAAATTTAGTGATGTGATTCTTGGTTCCATATCTCTCTCTCTCAAACACACATACATGCACTCGCAAATGCACAGTAAAACTGTTGAATAGTAAACTATGAACACAAAACACTAAGTGAATCCATTGTGATTTTCATGCAGCTAATCACATTTCATATTACAGATTAACAGCCATCACTCAATTGGCTCATCATGGAATTATGTTTGTGCCCCTCGGTTACACATTTGGGAGTGGCATGTTTGAGATGGATGAGGTGAAGGGTGGATCTTCATATGGTGCTGGAACTTACGCAGCAGATGGAACCCGACCACCCACAGAATTGGAGCTCCAACAGGCATTCTACCAGGGCACCTACATAGCTCGTATTGCTAGAAAGCTGAAAGCTCATCCCAACTAGACACAAGCATTTAACATTTCCTGGAAAAAAAAATAAAAATAGACAAGCATTCTCCACATATATATTATCATAAATGTGTAACCTCGTGTTCAAAGTAGAGAGTTCCCTCCACCTGCAGAAGGTACTGGTATGTAAGTAGCTTTCTAAATCTTTTGTATGAATCTTATTGTAATATTGACACATTCATGGAACCTAGCCAATCAAAAATGCATTTACCATGGATCAGGGTAGTTATAAAGAAACAAGCAAAAATAAGTAGGCCAAGAAAGGACCACACTTCTCTACAATTTGAATGGAGATTCATCATATTCAGCATAGGAGGGATTTACATGGACAGGAGGGTTCCTCATTCCATTGCATTGGGGGTTAAGAACCACTAAAGTATTTAATTTATTCTACTTGATAATACTTATAACCTTTTCCCTGTTATCTTTATTGATAATGGGTTAGGGCACATGCTTCATTCAACATGGCGCAGCAAGGCAGAACATGCTCACATAGATGCCCAGGCCGCCTGTATCAGATTGATATTTCTGATAATTGAAATCACTTCTAAAAGCAATTGAGATGTTTTAGACATTTTTGGATATAGATTGTGAGCCAAGGCTTGTGATGACACTCAATTGGCTCTTACGAGGAAAATTTGTCCTATACTATTCTACGTAAATGGCCATTTAGGTGAAATGCAAACACCAGACTAATTTGTCATTTTGATGACAAGGGTGCACATCTCCAAATTCTGCTAGAAGATGCATCTTTGTTGTTGGAAATTTTTAAGATAACCTGTAACTCTATTTCTACCCCTAGTTATGAAATTTAATAGCTAAAAGTATATCTCAAGTAGATCTATAAACACTTGGAAATCTTGAAAATGGGGCAGTCCAATAGATTTACTACAAGATGCCTTATCTTTGAGACTTGAAATCTTTTCTTTCTTTGTTTTTTCTATTTTTTTTTTTCATATGCATGCATTTCGAGGTTGAGATAATCAATTTGAAGCTTTTATGGTGTCCAAAACAACTGTTTTTGGTGGGCCTTGGAGGTACACTTTACTTTTGTAGTATAATATTGACGCTTTATATAAACTTTTGAGATTGTATACTATGAGACCATTTGACCGACGAGACCTGAAACAGTGTCGGCACAAAGTTAAAAACTTTGAAGGGATGCTCTAGAATCCAAGGTTTTAAAATTGGCCGGACTAAGGTAGATTATATGGAATGCAAGTTTAGTAATAGTAGGAGTAGAGATGAGGAAGTAGTTAAGATTGACGGTCATGAAGTACAATAAAGACTGAACTTTCGATATCTTGGGTTGATAATTCAATAAAATTGAGAGATTGAAGAAGATGTCGCACACATAATTAGAGCTGGTTGGACGAAGTGGGGATGTGCAACTGGAATTTTATGTGATCGCCGCAATACTAATGAAGCTGAAGGGCAAGTTCTATCGGACAACTGTAAAACTAGCTTTGCTCTTTGGGGTGGATTGTTGGGCGGACAAAAAACAATATACCCATAGAATAAGTGTAGCAGAGATAATGATATTGAGATGGATGAGTGGCAAGACAATAAGGGATAGAATTCGAAATGAATCCATTCAAGAGAATTTAAGTGTGGCACCAATAGGTGATAAGATGAGAGATAGTAAACTTAAGTGGGCTAGTCATGTGTGGCGTCAACCAAGTACAATACCTATTAGGATGTGCGAGTTAATTCGAGTAGAAAGATTGAAAATGGCATGGGGTAGGCCCAAAAAGATGTGGTTGGAAGTAGTCCGAAAAGATATAGGAACTTATGGCCTCACTGAGGGTAATGACATTTAATATAGCAAAATGGCGGACAAGGATTCGTATAGCTGACTCCAATTAATTGAGAAAAGGCTATGCTGATGATAATATTATAGACCATTTATCTTTGTTACAACGAGGCCACAATTACACCGAACTATTAAATGTCAAATTAGATGGTTTAGGGTGATTGAGTGTTTTTCTTTTTTTAAGCTTTAAGTTTAGTCAATGACACTCTTACAACTACCCAATGTAAAATCTAAAGGATAAAAGTGATTGTGACCTCATTGTACTAAAAATAAATAGTCTTTTTGTATATTTTTCATCAACTTTTTTCTTTATAAATACATCCATTCATGTGATATGCAACCACCAAACTGATTTGTCGTGGGTGTAGTTTATATAAGGAGTTAATCTCAATTAATCAAAGTAAGGCGCACCTCCAAACCCTACTAAAAGCTGCACTTTCGGTGCCGGTAACCATTCTCATAGCCTAAAAATTTATTTTCACCCTTAATTATGAAATTTTTAAAGTTCAAAAAAATTATGCAAATCAAGAGTAGTATATGAACATTTGAAAATCTTAAAAATAAACAATAAGCATAATGAGGTATAGGATGCATATTTTTTTAGAACTCTTCTTTTTTTTTCTAAATTCGGACATCTCGAGGTCGAGGTGATTAATTGGGGGGTTTTCGATGTTGAAACAATTTTCCAAATAGTTTTTGATATATGCCTAACTGTTATAGTACAATGTTGACACCTTAAATAATTCCATTTAGTAGGAAATGATTGCTTTCATTTTTTTTTGTTATACAAACGATCTTAGCTATTAGATGTCAAATCCAATAGCTTCGGACCTGTCACAGAGTGTGTGAGAATTCATTTTGGAATTGTAAGGGTGGTTAGTTGCATACTCCAAGCGGCCTATTTGAAATCTAGTGCCTTAGGATGGTTTTGACATCCGTTGTACCGAAATTAGGAATTGCACCCACCGTTTTTTTTTTTTTTTTTTTTTTTTAAGGGGTTGTGGTTTGTACAAAGAGGCTCTAAACGATCAAGGGTAAAGCGCACTTTCACATTGTGTTGAGAAATGTGGTTTTAATATTAAAAATATTTGTGAAAGCCTTAAAATAGATTGATGCTTTATACCTCTGGGACCGCAAACAATTTTGTTTTTAAAATAGACAATTTTTCTTAACAAACAGTAGTCCAGTGAAAAAAGCCTCTTTCTTACCGTAAAAGACCTTGGGCCGCATTTTTCTCATTTCTCTCTGGTTATTGCTCTATTCTCTGCCAAAAAAATACTATCAATCTTTTTTAGCTGACTTATGCATAGTTCTTTAGGCGTAACGCCCCAAATGTTGGACGTAAATTTCTTATTTCAAAATATTTGTGGTTGGAAACGATTAAAATGATGGAAGAAATAATTGAAATGATTTATTTCTTAACATGGGAGGAAATAGCAGTGATATTTTCGGTTCAAATAACTGAATGAATTTTCTAATAAGGTAAAAAATAGTTTCGGCCTTCTCCTGTGATTTGATTTCAAACTGTGTATTTTTTTTTTTATATATGTTGTTAGCATTGTATTGAAAGAAAATAGAGATTACAAAGATATCTAACAACCTAGGGTCACCGAGAGCTTTCAAACAATACGTATTCTTTTACTTTTTTTTTTCTGTCGGAGAACATTTTGATAGGGCTCCAATCGTATCAAAATGCATTGAAAAAAATTATAGTTTCTGCAGTGGAAAAACTTTGAAAAAAAAAAGCAATCTCCTTGGCCTTGGCCATTATGGTTGCGAAAGAAAATTAAGATTTTAAGCCCTAAAAATTGTATATATTATTAAACTGTCCATTTTTACCCTAAAAATAAGAGTTCACATATCCATCCGCATATGTAAGATTCAAATTTCATATCGAAGTTGGAAATTGATTTTAGAGCCATCATGGAGATATTTGATGTCCAAAGTGCTTTTTGAGTAAGGATTTGAAATTTTACTAAAAGCCGAGGCCTTTTAGAATTTTTATTTATTCAACAATATTGAGTCTTGAGTAAGACAGTCCCATAAGGGGCAATCCAGTTTGGCCTTGCCGATCCAACTTTATTTTCAGGGAGAGAGAGTCAGACCCTCTGATTTTATATACACTGGTTAAAACTTAAAAACATTGTTGCCAATTATCCACAACGCATGCACCAATCAAGATCCTATCCCTGATTCACCAAGCAATCACTGGATTCTTACAAGCTAGAGGTGGCACAAATTCATGCCCCTTTTCAACTGTTATTTATTGCTTATGTGGTTTTCAGGATTTACCATATGAAAGGATGGCTGTTTCAAAACCAGTGTTTTCCATAATCAATTCTTATAAAAAATAATGGTTATTCATTGGTCGGACATACAATGTAACATATTAAAGATGTAAAACAAGATATCCAAGACAAGAACATTTGAAACTAGGTAAAAGCTTTGTAGTGACCTCATGCCGCTGATTCCTCCCTCGCATGTTGACTAAGTTAGGCACTCTTTGAGATACACCAGCAATAGTAACAGCACCTCGGTCTAGAGTAGACTATATTTATTTTTATCTTCTATACAACTAGTCTACCACTTAAAAAGAAAAAAGGAATTTCTTTCCATCTACTACTTGCTGCTACATTTGATGGCGTACTAAGTGGAACAAATATAGCAAGTCATGCATAAAGTGAATGCGTGGGGAGTAATAACAAAATAACATGTTTATTTATTAAATAAAAGCACCATACTCAAAAGACTTCTATTATTAGCCAATAACATCACAAAAACAGGAATACATCAATATTCAGATGCATTAAAATACCAATTTGGAACAACATGTTCCAACTTATTTAGTCTTTTCCATGAGACAAGCAAGCTCTGAGGGAAGTGCTGTAGTGGAGTAGGCAGATATTTCACTTGGTCCACAATAAGAGGAAGTCCTTGCAACTGTTAATCTTCTTCTGCAATTGGAGGACTCCATAGAGCTGTTGGGGGGCATCCGGGAACATGTATGTCAACGGGGACGATTCAGTCACAGCCACCCACGACAGAGTAGGAATAGTACCAAACTTCAGTCACCCTTTTCCAAACGTACAGCCATATGATAGATTCAGGATTCAATTCGATAATAAATTATACAATGAAAGACACAATTTGTGACACATTGAATCAAATCTGAGCAAACTACTGGAAATAAGATTCAAATAAACAAAATTAAAAAAGAGAATACAATAAATCGAGCAGCAAAGCCCTTTTGATATGAAAAATAAAGGGAAAACCACAAAGGCATCACGATACAAATAGCAATCAATAATGAAATAATCATAAATCCGAGCATTGACTCAATGATTTATATAGAAAATGGGGGAAATATGGTATGAACTATCAAATGCTAAACCACAACATAGTTAACAAATATTGTCCCTCTCAACAAAGAATCTGAAGACACCATAAAATACATTTATATATTTAAAAACAACAGCAACAATAACTATGACATAGAGAAATGGAAATATGGCATAGACTATTAACAAAGCTATTAAAAACCAAGAAGACAGACAGATCTAGGTTCCTATGGTAGATAGGTAGGTATAGGTTTGAATGGTTAATGGGGAGATAGTAAAGAGACATACTTGCGGAGGGCAGGGGCCATCTTGTTGGAAAGGGTGTACAGTCGGCCTGGGGAGGGCTCGGTCGGAAGATGAAACCGAAGCAATCAAAGTCATAGTGGGCAGCGCCAGCATGCATCATCTCCACAGCGCAGCACGCGACGTCAAGGGCCATATGGACCCCGTAGTTCATGAGGTTGTCCTCCTTTGATATCGCTTACTTGGCTGCCTTCGGAAGACCACTTCCTCCCACCGCAGTGGAGGTGGGTCTTGTGTAAGGGGTGGTGGGTGGTGCCGATGATGCTGCTGCTGCCATGGCCATGGAGGAGGAAGTGTGAAAGTGAGAGGCCAAAGCTCCCGTAACCCATTGGCCTCCATGCACAAGGCGGGATTTGGCTGGGAGGAGAGCAGCTGCAATGGTCATCGCTACGAATATGATTCTTCTCTCTATCTTTATTAGCATTTGCGAATGTGAGGATGGTTCCAAACTCCGTCGTGAGATGCAATTTTTGTGAGGATGGCACGAGAATCTATTTATGTATGTAATTATAAAATTTGAATTCTAAAAATACTTTGAAACTACAGTATTTCATTTACATCTCACCACCGTCCAAAGTTTATCATACGGTCACGTTATATCTTACCACCGTCCAAAGTTTATCATACGGTCACAGTTATTCAGTAGTATTTGAATTATTACAATTATTGTATAAATTAGATTTATCTAAAATTTAGAACGTATATATATATATGACCAAGTTGTATCAAAATAAAGTATTTAAAAAATAATAGACATAAAATAAAATGACAAGATTACCTTTGAAACTTTATAGGGGTATTTTACATAATTTTTATCATTCAAGTTATTTGTTTTATATTTTATTCAAGTGCATCTCACTATGGTGCACACACCTACAAATTTTCAAATTATTATGATATGTAAAAAAAATATTAAAATTCAAACACTATTAGACATCTGTAACTGTGTGATAAACTTTGAACGATAATAAAACCGTAGGTGAAGTACTGTAGAACTTCACCTATAGGCGTTTTGTAGGTTTTCCTATATGTATATATATATGTTTGATCTGAATTGTTTTTAGAATTAAAATTAGGGAAATTATAAAAAATGTACTATGTTTTTGTCTAATTAGAAGAAAAAAAACACATATTTCATTAACCTCGTCCATATATTTTTTTCTTATTTTTGGCATTTCTTTGAACAAAATGGCATTGACAGTAGTCGTGTCACCAAACACATCACAAGTTATAGATTCAAACATAATATCTTGAGGCATCATGGTACTTTAAGTACCATGATGACTCGCACATGTTTTACCGCACTTAAAATGTCATTATTATATTTGATGATGATTATGGTAAAAAAAATTACAGTGATGCTAACGGCATCATTATGGTACTTTAAGTACCGTAATGCTAAATACTTTGAGTATCTATTTGAGTGCCAAGTTCATTTCCCTTTGGTATTCAAAAGTATTAACCAGTGATAGTCATCATGGCACTTTAAGTACTGGGATGCATCATAGCTTCACGGTAATACGATTATCGTGAAAGCTATTTTGGTAAAAAAAAAATTCAAAAATGAGAAAAAATAGTGTGAACTAGGTTTATAAAAGTACGATGTTTTTTTTTTTTCTAATTAGATGAAAATTAAAGTAAATTTCTAATAATTTCTCTATATTTTAAGATGTCAACTTTATATCAATTTTTTCCTTTATTTAATAGACAGGATTTTGGTGAGTCAGGCGACTCACCTATTACCATGCGATCACTTGTCTATCTAACGTCCATCTCTAAGATGGATGTCAAAAAAACGTTACATCCACTACAAGTTAAAATGGACGGTGAAGAAAGAAACTCAACAAACAATATATATATTTTTGAAAAATAAAATTCTAAATTTAGATAATTGTCATAGTTTAGATTATCGAACTCTAAAAATTTGGATTGAAAATTCAATCTTCTAGATATATTAAAAAAGTGAGAATCGGCTGACTTACCAAACACTTTTCCATATCTAATTATTCACGAGAATTGAATAATTAACATTTTATCTATATTTTATACTTTAAAATGTTAATTAAAAAAATATGATCTTGAATAGATCGCCCAATGGGGCAGTAACCAAAAACCAGCCCAGCCCAGCCCTCACTCTGCGAGCCCCAAACACGTCAGCTACAAGTACCTACCTGGATATTATTTCAACCGACATTCATTTTACAGTTTTTACTCATACCTTTTGGAGGGAGTTTGTTTCTATCGATTTGTTTGCGATTATCTTCTTTAGTAAGTCCCTGGAAAAAAAAAAAGGTCAGCTAAACTTGGATTTTGTCCGAATGGGCTCGTAATCAGTATCAGGCCGATCAGGCTCTGTGTGTAAAATGGAATCGAGTTGGTTTCTCATTCACTTTTTTATTGTTGTGACTGGGTGATCTTTTGGTGCCCCAAATTTTTTTAAATGCATGGAATCTCGGTGTAACTAAACACAATATTATCTTTACCGAGTACTCCAAATTTCCGGACTCATAAACAACTCTTTCATTTTCATTCTAGCTTCCGGCTGCCAGACGCTCTCGAGACAAGGGCAATCCTCCTATGCTCAATCATTGTATATGATCTTTCCACGCCTGAAGTCCCATTGATTTCCAATCTTTCTATCTTGTTGTTCAATTATTTTCTTTGAATCTTTTGGCTAGAATTTAAGAAAATATCCAAACTGAGAATACTGAGAGAAAATACGATTGTTTGGCTTTTTTAACAATTTTTAACTTTAATTGTTAAGCATTTTCTTGGAGGTCAAGGTTTCTCTCCATTTCACCCAAGACGCTTTTGATTCACCAATATATCCTCAACGAAGCCGATATTGGAGGGGCTAAGCAAACTAAATAAATATCTTCCTTTTACAGGCCATGTAAGTAGCTTCGTGAATACAATATACAATAATATGACACAAAGAGGCACCATGAAAAAACAAGGAAGATTTCTACGGCATCAGATCCTTTTTCAAGCACCAGCAGAGAATCTCTCCTAAGTCCCACAAAATTATTACAGTGCTCCTAATATTTATACCTTTCTAAACTAACAAAAATAGGAACAGTTCTCTTTCTGCCATAAACAAAATCTGTCCCCGTGAAGGAACATGACTCTTATATCTCCAGGCTTTCCCCAACAACATGCTACTTTCACTGTAATTGAGCCAAGAACTGAATTGGGTGACAACACTAGGGTTTCCCCAACAACGTGCTACTTTCACTATAATTGAGCCAAGAACTGAATTGTTACACCACAGTAGGAAGCTCCTCATTGATTGATTTTGTGTATTCCAATGTGAAGATCAGAAGATATGGATATCAAAAGGGGGAGGGAATGGTGCCATGCAGCCCTGAGAACTCGCTTCTGATGAGCTTTCACAGATTGACAAGGCTGACTAGAATTGTATCTGATATCAAAAATATGTATCATGGGATCAGTTGAGCCAGAAGAGATGTACCAGCCATCAGGGGACCATGCCTGATTTATGAGCGCAGACTGGGAGTCGCTGCTTATTTGCTTCCATCCAAATGCATGGATCTCCCGTTGCCTCACCCGTATGTCATATAGGTGAAGTTGCTTCTGCGGGGTCCTGTAAGAACGAAAAATAATATAAATTTTACAAAAATCATCACACATAAAGAACAATTGTAAAGAGACTGCTTCTGTAGAGTATCATAAATATGATGTCCCCTCCATCAAAGCAAAGCTCACAAAAACCATCACAAAGAAAACAAATATATGAAACTTAATTGACCATGAATAAAAGTAGATGAAAGCTCAAAGAAACAACTATGACAGCTGTCCAATCCATGATACGGGAATACTTCTGAACGAACTGCCCAATCTCAGATAAAGCTTACAGCTAAGCAAAAGAACTGCCCAATCTCAGGTACACTCAGACAATGAGGTATATTTGAGCACCTTTAGTAAAAGGAGAAGTTTCAAAGAATGACTCAAGGAGCTTCTAGGAAGGGCAAATGAGTGATCATAACCGTAAAACCATGAAAAAAATATTGCTAAAATAAGGAATATCACAAAATAAAATGCCTAATCAGAAATTTCAACCAAATTTAGTGCACAGGAGGCATCACATTTTCATCAATCGACAGTTTCGAGAGCCTCTGGACAGAAACTAGCATACCCTGTTTGCACCATGAATAGGTTGAAGTCCGAAGGATTGGGCAGAATACCCATACATTTGTTATCGCCCTGCATCTTATAATCAGCCCTCGATGTCTGAAGATCAAATCCAATAACTCTTTTGTCTGCACCTGCAGAGAGTATTATTTGCCTGTTTTGCATCCCAGCAACACCCATGACGGCAGAAGAATGCAGGTTCCTGTGCAACACCTTCGGTTTCCATACATTATCACCATCTTTCTCATTCCAAAGTATTACAGCATGGTCACTTCCACTAGTTGCAAAACATGGATCACCCCAAGGCATGAATATTATGTTGTTTATTATTCCCCTGAGATGAGGCTTTTCTTTTAAATAAGTCACTTCGTTCTGCAGATAAAATGAAGTCAAACCATTGTATTATTGCCATTTTATGTTATGTGCAAGTTGTTAAAATCACATAATGAGAATTTAGTCAAGATCAATACAAGAAAGAAAACAACATGGAGAACAATACATCCCATCAAAGAACACATCAGTCCACCTATCCTTTATTGATGAACTTTATAAATAATAAACTTTATTAACATTGTTGATAAAGATCAGGAATTCGATGAAAAGATTGAAGGAAACATGAAAAATAAAAATATGAAAAGGGAGATTATGAATTAGAACATTCATATGAGAATGTGACAGCCGATGCTCTTACCAAAGAGTGTGTATTTGTGATGTTCTTCTCGTCTAAGGCCCCTAAGCATACGTTTTGGGTCATTGAGATGCCAATCAGCATCTCGTTAGCACCTAAACCCAAGTGATGGTTTATAAATTACCACTATGGCCTTACAATAAAAGAAGAATGTGGATCATGAGAGACCAGTGGTATTAAATTCGCTTCACTTCGGCCGAAGAGGCCGAAGTCTTCAGATTTTCGGCCTAGATCAAAGCGAAGCGAAGCGAAGCCCAGTGCAGCCACTTCGGTTAGCTTCGCGCTTCTTCGGGCCGTATCCCTCTCAGCATGAAATTCCTCTTGGCCTTGCGCCTGAGAGATGTTATAACGGACCTAGGCCCCTTCCACTTAATCTTAGCCATCAATCTGGATGAATCCAGGCCATCTGCCTTCTCGATCTCTCTAAACCCCTCAAGCCTGCACAAAACCAGCTTCACCTGATATTTCTTAACCAGAGGCAGTCATGACCACCACTTAATCATCTTTACCACCACTATTCCCCCCAAATAGACCAATCCCACCCCAAATCCCAACCAAGAAAAAACTAGAAAGACAGAAAAGTCCTCGATAAAAGTTGGGGCAAAAAAACTCTCTTAGAGAGAGAACCGGTGATGAAACAAAACCAACCACGATAAATGCAGGAAAACTAGAGAACAAAGCCCTCTTTTGACAAGAGAGATAAGACGCAAAAAAATCAACTCCTAAAATATACAGATAAGATACTCTCATGAGAAAAGAAGCCTTCCACCTATCTTTAAAAACAAATGCGTTTCCCTAGAATCCCCAGAAAACCGCTGTGAAAAACTTGCTGTCTAGAGAGACAGAATTTAGAGAGAGAGAACGGGGCCTTTAGAATGGATCTGTAGAGAAGGGCAAATATGCTGCTAGCCTTTCCTCTCACAGTACACACCCAACAATACAAAGAAATGTCTTTTCTTTCAATATTTTTATTGTTAACATTTTTATTTATTATTTCAATGTGTTTTTATTTTATAAAATTTTAAAAAAGTTTTGAAATCTTCTCCGAATTGGCTGAAAGACCGAATTGCTTCATTTTTCTGACCAAACCGAAGAAGGCTTTGAAGAGAATCTGACAACACTGAGAAAGACACTTGTGAATTGGGTCTTTAAAATGCATATATTTGTGCTTAAAGGTTTACCACAAACCCTAGTATGAAAAGGTTTTGTTATTAAGAATAGGGAATTGTGTCTGCTAGTGTTTCTCATAAGCAGCAATCTATTCAATTCTAGAAGAAATAAACAACATGCACAAATATTATAAACCTACGAATACCTCAAAAAAAAAAAAAGTCTTAAGAGAAAGGGATACCATTTCCTGCTGTTAGGACTTCCTAGCCACCAAGTCACCCTCAAGCCAGAGAGAGAACAATAACTTTCAACAATCCACTAATCCCATAACTCCCCTTTAATAGCCTCACAAACTAATCACACACATGAATCACCCTCCACCTTGGAGGGATGGAGAACAAACGTGGTTTAGTCTTTAATTGCTCCGGATTTTCCAATCTTCAAATGGACAGGGTACTAGGATTCCTTAAATAATTATCATGAAACTTTAGTGTCCTCCTTGGAGGTTTGCAACACCAAGCTTTTGGTTTGGAAATTGGTGCTTCACTCGGCAACAATATCCTCAATTAATGAACCAAGCAATCCACATTAAGACTAATAGACTCTTTATTTATAAGCATCCATGAGATGATGATAAAACTAATTCTCTTAATACAAATAAATTAATAAAAAAAAATCCCCACTTCTCTTTTAATGCATCCCAAACTACTATTCAAATCTCAGAAAGCAAGTGATAACGGACAATCCCACGTCAAGTACGGGGTCGGCCATAGATTCCCTTCAACAGAAAAAAAATCTGCACTGGTGTGTGTGGAAAATTAAATCATGGGCTTTCCAAGAGAAAAACCATCTAAGATGGCTTTCTTAAGACCATGAGCATTTGGGTTTAACATTGTGAGAAAAGTTGTGCCCCTTACAAGTCGGTTTTTTAGAGTGGCAACAAGCCCCTTTTTCTAAAACCATAATTTTAAGGGAAAATATCCTATTATCCCCTATTTTTAACTTCTATATCTCATCAGACCCAAGAATTGAAAATATTACTTGCAAGCAAAAAGGCTCCATCTTTTCTATCTTCCAACCCCCTAAACCCTTTTGACCGTGTATTATTGACCTCAACAACTTATGAAATGACTCTATCTTTCTCTCTCTAAAACTCCATCTCTCTCTCTCTCACATCATTGTCTCTCTCTCAAAACTCCATCTCTCTCTAAAACCCAAACTCCATCTCTCTCTCTCTCTAAAACTCCATCTCTCTCTCACACATAAGAAGGTGTGCTCATGTTCGAGCTCAAGCTAAACCCCTTGGTTGGTAAGCTCACCGAGAAGTGAAGAGAGAGAGATGGAGTTTTAGAGAGAGAGAGAGAGATGAAATTTGAATAAGGTGTCATTTTAGTGTTTGTTTGGTTCAAAAATTTATGGTCAAAGGGGTCCAGGGGGTTGTAAGATAGAAAAGATGGAGACCTTTTGCTTACAAGTAATATTTTCAATTCTTGAGCCTCATGAGATATGAAAGTTAAAAATAGGTGATAAGGAGATATTTTCCCTAATTTTAAAGCAAGGTTACTTATAAATCTCTTTTTACTCTCAATTTCTCTAATTACTAAACACCTTTCTTTTTTAAAATCTCCCCTCCAGTCTCTCTACAATCTCCTTCCTCTCTCTATTATACACCAGAGGATCTCTATCTAAAATCTCCTCTCTCTCTAGTATACACTACAGTATAGATCTCTAAATATCATTTTCCTATCTAGTAAACACCTCTCTGTCTCTCTCTAAGATGTCACAGACACTCTCTAAAAGCCCCTCTTTCTAGTAAACACCTATCTCTAATAGCTGCTACATTCTCTCTCAGGTAGACTCTAAACATAGTTGACTCAATCACACTTATATTTCATCTTTAGAAGCTAAAATAGAACAGATTATGGGAATACAGGTATTCAAAATACCAGTATTTCATTACTCATGCAAACATAAAAGACACCGAAGAAATATGGGTTTTCTACTACTGGCATTCATCTGAATAGCCTTTGTTCTTTACCTTTTTTTTTTTTGGAGGCGGGGTGGGGGAGGTGGGTTAGCCCTCTCAAAAGATGAGGTAGAAGGGAGGAGCTTCTCTCAAAAAGCTAAACCTCAACTATCAATTGTCTTAAAAAAAATCTCAGATGGTTGCTCTGTTAGAAATCCCGTAAATCAGTGTCTCAATCCTTTTTATATGTTTATCATTGCAAACAGAAAACCCAGAACAAGAAACAACCTTGCTCACTTAATATATGAAAACCATTTATAATTTTACACCTGTCAAGTGGAAGAATATGCTAATAAATATGAATAGGCTTCTTTCTGACCTTTGATGAATTCAAATTCAGAACTGATACTTGAGAGTCCCCATCATCTGCAGTGTACACAGAGAATAAGCTATCACCATCAGGGTGCCAGGTTATGTCCTCCGGCCACCTCCTTTTAGCGGATAGACAGTCTCTTGAACTAAGCAGTGAAGTGCTAGATCTGCAGTGTTGAGAGCCAAAGCAAACAAATTTTGTAAAAGACAAATGTCTTCATTCAATTGTCAATGGTCTTGAGCACAGCTTGATATGTAAATAGGAATCATGCTTGGGCTTGAGTGTTTAGGCGTTCATGATCAGAACACTACATACTAGGTTCGATTCCTACCACTGAAAAGCCCCAACTAAAAAAAGAACTTGATGTAAATATCCAGGTAACGTATTTACATTGCTGGGTCAATGATAACTTATAATATTGGTGAATCATCTATTTACAACATAATTGAATATATTATTCGGTCGTGTATACAGATCTTATGTGTAAATGCTAACAAGGACTATAATAATTTATCAAATAAAAGATTAAGGATCGATGGCATACCCCTTTGCCTGAACTTCCCACAGTTTCACAACACCATCCAAAGAACTGTAAAAACTAATCCAAAGTTACATGCAGATAATGCAAAAATATACAAGTGATCAACAATATGAACTAACAGTGTTCCTTAAGTTCAGACCATAAGAAACTTGTAATTCAAACATGATGTGAAGTGCCTATCAACAACAATCACATGCTAAAAAGTTTGCAACAAATCCATAAATTTAACGGAACTTGCAAATCAGGAAAAGCAGATCATTCAAGAAGATAGCAGACAAAAGGTGAAGATAAATCTGATGGACTCATTAAAGTTAAATAAAGCAACTATTCAGTAGATGATACCTTGTCACAAAGAGCTTATCATTGAATGGATTCAAAGCAATACTTCTCATCTTTCTTCTACCCTGGTTGGAGATGAGGGTTGCAGTCTGGAAGCGGATTATATGTGGTGATGCAGCCGTACGGATGGATGATATCAAGTCTTTATGTACTCTTTGCTCTACATCCCAAAGAGATAAGAAAATTATAGTTTGAGAAGACTGGGAAGGAAAGATAGTAATGCCAAGAAATGCATGGACAAAAGAAATAAGGCAGAATGCCAAATAAAAAAGTTGAAAATATTTGTCCTAATGAAAACCAACAACCCATACTTACGTAATTTCCTGCTTGCCTGTTTATCATTCGAATTAGAGATTGTCTTCTCAGAAGAATTTTTGCACGAGGTCATATCACCTTTCAGCTTTCCTGGAGTATCAGACAGACGCTTAGAGCTGGAGGTGGCACTCCTAACACCAGAAACACTGGGCACTTTCATACTGGGGTCTGCCAAACTTTTTGCTTCTCCCATATTTAAGTTTGCTGCAGGAATAACGAGTTGAGGTCTGAGCTGGGGTTGATTTTGAGTATGACCTTCATCAACATGCATTGGACTTGGGGTTGCTGACGACTTAGGCTCTACTTTCACTTTTCCAATATCATCACTAGTAGCACTTTTGGAACTCTCCACATCATGCCGAGCCTTGTGGCAAGCTAATGAAGATTTTGCGTCAAGCAGTTTCTTCTGAGCTCCTTCCAGCTGCATATCTTCTCCAAAATTGTTGTAAGTCAAATACTTTAAGGACAGCTATAGCTCAAAAATCACTAAAATTAATTATTGATGCCTGATAAAATGCAACATGAAAGTTTTATGCATCAACTGATTTACATGAGGCCAGTGTAATTCTGGGTACAGACTCGCTACTCATTGAAAACATAGTGATGAATATGATCGCCCCAAATTGCAGTTATACCTATGTTATCAATGTAAAAAGACACTAAAACTTTCTGGTTAAAAAAATTCATTGCATGCAACAGCCATGCTGATAAACTAAGGAGCATTGTAATTATTTCATATTCAGAAATTCAGCAAATAAAAGAGCACAAAAGAAATGATTCACTGGGGAAGGACAAGAAAAAACCCAACAAGCATGAATTAGCAGAGACAGCCCATCACACAAACATGCAATATCTTGGGAAAAGTGTCATCTCCAAAACCAATCTGCTGGACCTACTGGCCTCACAACCAATGAAACACTGTCATCAGTCAAGACCCAAATCAAGCAGATAAGTCTTCAAATCTCATGAACAGCATCTGTATGACAATTGCCGAGGATAGGAAGAACCTTTATAAACCCACCTGAAGATGTCAAACTTTTTGCTCCCCACTACCCACCACAATCAAGGGAAAATGAATCCAAAAGCATCTCTAACCATGACCCAGCCTCCGTCCCAACGAACAGCATAATAATGCAACCCACACCCCTCCTCATCACGAAAGAATTCCACAGAGTTGCAACCCTCAGATTGCCACACAACAAGTTTTATCCTAGACTTCCATTTGAAACAGGAGAGTAAGCCTAAAAAAACAAAAAAGGCAAGGAAGCGTCAATGACCCCAACCCACCAAACCTCCAGCCCCCACACTGTCCATAAAAATAAAGGAAAAATACTAATAATAATGGGGCAGTACATGTCAGCAAGAAGAATATGATCCTAACGCTACATGACTTCAAAGAGTTCCCTATATTCCAGAACCGTAACGCAAAATGAAGCACACAACTTGACTTCTTATTCCAACACTCGAAGATGGAATGCCTCCCCCTCTACCACAGATATAAATTAGTACAAAACCCTAGATTAGAAAGAACAATCCTGCTCAGCTGCCCGGATAAAAGTTCTCAACTCGATCCCTATCATGTCTTCCAACAACTCTAGTTTAGATACCAAGTTAACTCCATGATCTAACCTCAACCACTGCCTAGTTAAAATTGGCCCCCAAACCACAAACAGGCCTCTCTCTCAACAAGCTATGCGACCCTTTCGTCCTTAGCAGTTGACACCAACAATAGCCCAAGATTCCCACCATGGAGGAAAAGGCCTGCCCCCAACCCATCAACCGACTTGACAAATCAAATGAAATACTTATCACGCAATAGCAGTTGAAAAAGACTAGCTAGCTACTCTTTGGCTCGCTTTGTTCAGATCCGTTCGATGCTGCAAAGCCTACTGCTGCTTGCTCGCTTTCTCTTTCGTCCCATCGTTAAACTTGCCTCTTCAGTCGTACCTCTCCTTTCAGTCCTTCATCTTGCTCTCCTTCTGGTTGAGTGCTAACTACCTCTGCCATACTCGTACTAGTCCTAGGTAAATTAAGGGAATGAGAGTCATCACATACTATTCACTTGTCCATATTCCCAGCAATAAAATACTCATCATCGGTCCAAAAGCAAGGTTCTTGCCTAAACCAGGATAGAACTAATTATTGCCAACCCACAACTCACAATTGAGCATCTCCAATCAAATCACTTCTCCCCCTTGGACTCCCTACCTCCCGGATATATTTCCCCAATCTCAGCTCCCTCCGTGAATCCAATGTCTGCACCCGGAACTCAAGAGGAGAATGATTAACCATCTTTGAGCATGTGATCCTATCCTTTGTGGAACCCAAGCAATTGAACCTTTCTAGCATAAAAGTGAAGCAGCTTGTACCGCCTCCACTCCAGGGCAAATTACACTGGTCTTAGTGAACCTTACTAGAAATGGACAAGTAAGAAATGTAGCTCCCGACAAGAGTAGTCTTAGTCATATTTCCTCGACAACAAAAGTGACAGGTCCAAATTAGTAGACAAAATATCCCATACCTTGTAGACTGAAATCCCTAGTACCTCTCTGGAGATGGCCTTGTTTAGACAAGGCAAAAAGATCTCCATTAATATACATCCAACTCCTCTGCATTTTATCCTGCTTCCTACCTCTGACATAAACTTCCTGAGTTATACCAACTAGATGAATAGCTCTTCTGGTTCTTTCTACGATGGTTCCTCCTTAAGTGTTAGCATCCGGCTTAGGCCTTAAGACTGTTTGGAATAGCAATCATCCACCTTACACACTGAAACACAAGGAAGAATTCCTACTCCAAGGAAGACGTAGATAAGAGCTGAACTGCATGTCCCTACTTAACTTGGATAGAGTGTCGCATGTATTGACACACTAAGGACACAGTACCTATGTCTAACACTTAGAAACTCAAAAACTTCTGCTAACCTTCCTCTTTTAGACTGTTGCCAATAAAGCAACACAAAGTTACTTGGAATCCCCCTCCTCTCAATGATGTAACCGCATGTCATGACTGAAAGATTAAGTTTTGGAGCTATCATTTCTGATGCGGATGCCCATGTTGGATGGCAACACGTGAATTGGTTTCGTTTTAATGTATCACCCATCGACTTAGGAAAAAACATCCACCTCCGTCCCCATAACAACTGATAATTTACTTCTCACTTCATTGTTCATGCTCCTTATTGTGGTCCAAACCCCCAATGCATATCTTTCCCTTTAGGAATCATAATCCTAAACTTGATCAGCATATGCCACCTCACGCCATAAACCTTCCAACTTAATGCCCAATCTCAAAATCCATTTGGAGAGTAGGACTGTGTTCGTTCCCTTCAAAAAGAAATTCCTAGAAACTATTCATGTGAATGTGATTTTTATTTGATTGGCAAACTGTCAAGAGAAATATATCCATCCTTAGAAATGTATAATTCATGGGGAACAGAGAATGAGTATCATAGATAGAGAACAAATAATGAGTGTCTCTTAAATAGAATTCAGGACTGGTAGTTGTCTTAAATATATTGGAGGTAAAAATGCAGCAAATATTCTTACCAACAGAGATATGCTGATTAAGGAAGAAACCATCTAGAAAAAAATCACCCAATGTGTTTCCTTTTTTTTTTTCTCTTTGGAAAAAGGCTTTATATCATATGATGTGACCAACTTTGCCCACATAACCAAGTTACAATAATCTATATGGGATTGTATACTATGAGAACAATTATTTTTGGTACAAGAAGGTCAAATTCTCTTAGCCATTGGATGTGAAATCTAATATAGTAAAATATATCACAACTTCCAAGAAAATTTGTTTCGGACTTTGTGCTCAATTAGTGACGAATCACAACCCAAGGATTTCACATCTTGTAACAAAAGTAAATGGTCTCCTCATATACATTTCCTATCTTTAACTTGAAAGAAAAGGAGTGCTCATGAATATAAGGTATCCACATTCCAACCAGGCTTGGCTCCCAACAAGCCTTGTCGTGTATATGATTCAGATTTTCGACAGACAACCGTGTTTATAGTTTTAGCGAGTAATTGATATTGATAAGAAAAGGAAACGACGCAATAAAGAGAGAGACGCATAATATCAAGAGAGCTCCACGAGCATTTTATAAGCAACTTCAGAGGAAAATTTAAAAAAAGGGGGGGGAGGAAAGGAGGAGGGCAACCTGTGATTGATAATAATCAATCTTGCGTTTGATATTGTCAACCTCGAGAGTCCTGTGTTGGAGTAGAGCCACCAGGCATTCTTCTGTTTCCCTTAGGTCCTCCTCCTCCTCATCAACCCCTTTTCCATTCTCGTCGTGCACCTTCTCCTCATACTTGTTGCTGTGTTTTTCCAATTTGGGCTTCTTCAAAAGTGTCTGCATCTTCCCTTCCCTTCAATATCCGCAGCGAGATGATCGAAATTTTATCGAAAACAGAAACGCCACTTCGGTCGATCGATCTACACGTATTATTCGCGAATTGTATACAGATTGAAAGAAAGATATAGAACAACACACGGGACGGAGTTGGAACTTGGAACTAGTGATAAGTGGGTCTTTGGCAAGCAGCTTTTAACGAACAGAGATGCTGATCGATTACTGATGCATTGCAGCTGTTAGACAAAACGCAAGGCAAGGGATTCGAAAGAAGAAAATAATGAGAGAGTAATTTAATGCCAAAAATATACGACGCAACAAGAAACATCCGACCGCCGAGGATAGAAATTTGGGGGGAACATTCCAAGCGATCGTTTTTTGCGCTCTCCGTGACCCATTTTTTACACCAATCTTACTCCGCGGTTATGTTCTATTAAACACCGTACCCTCCCCGCTACAAGCCGTTAGATATTTTCTAACTACTTCCACGCACATATTTTGATCAACTTTTGCCCCATTCTACTTAGAACTAACTTTCGCCTCCTAACATCTATTATACTTGGTCACTACCACACATATCCATTTCATCTAAGTTTATTCTCTCTCATTTTATCGTCTAGTGGTGTCACGTTTAAATTCTTTCAAATAGAATCATTTTGAATTCGATATCTTTTTGTCTTTGCTACTCATCCATCTCAACATCATCACATCTGCTATACTCATTATATATATATATATATATTGCTTTTTGTCCACCTAACATTCCCCTATAGAGCAAAGTTAGTCTTACAACTGTATTATAGAACTTGCCCTTCAGCTTTATTGATATGTGATGGTCACATAAAATTCATGTTGCACATCTCCGCTTCGCCTACTATAATAATCCTAAAATTTCAAAAAAAAAAAATTTGAAACTTTTAATAAGTGATGGTCCATATGAGCATGATGGTCCTTAAGGACCATCACTACTTTCAAAAGCTTTTACCTTCATTTGGTTTAAACTTTGTTGCATTTGCCACTTTTAATGTGTTAAAGGCGGACATTTACGTTGAGGTGTAGGCGTTTTAAAATATTTAAATAGGGTGAAGAGGCGTCGCCTTACAGAACTCCACTCTTGCTCTCCCTCTTACAAACACA